TTGCCAATACTTTCACCTCTGAATCTTTTGGATTGAAGACAGACTGTTAAGTGAATTGACTGTATATTGTGTTAATCCAGGTAAGTGATGTTAGTGTGGGGAATTAAATAATTATTGCTATACATTTTTCTGTTTCATTATTTTAGTGCCACGTCAATAATCCCAGTGAGGTGCATTAATCTGGATGAGTGCCTTTCTCAAGATTGCTATAACAAAGCTCTCTCAAAAGAATTTTAATTGATCATTTTGAGAAAATAGGAGTTTTATGGAAAACCATAATGCTCATGATATTCTACAACCAATCGCACACTTAAATTAGTAATCTGTAGCATTTGTTGTGAAAAAAAGTAAAAACAAATCCTCTCTAGACTACACTGAAGGGATAACTTAGTTTCTCTTGTTAATGACATATATATTAAACTCATATGAGCCAGTGTTGGTGATGTATTTCATATAATATTGTTTCTATACCCAACTCTCCTGTTCCGAAACCTGGTGTGCCCACACACGTAGACACAGACATGATGCAATGAATGTTATACCTTTTTATTCATCTGACAACTTGATGATAGTTTATGTTTTAACCAGCATCTAGAATCACACAGGGAATGGAGGCTTTTCATCAAAGAGAATGAAGATACCGATTTGACCCTGAAAGCTCGTCAAAAAATTGACAATGGATAGAATAAAAGATACAGCATTTATGTAACAAAACAACTCTCCAAATAGCAAATCAGAAACTGAGTGTTCTCACCTGACTTGTACCAGAGTCCTGCAGCAAACTGGTTAGAGCGCTCGCCTCGCAAGCAAGAGGACCTGGGTTCGCAGGGTGAAATGTTCGGCAAGTTTTCTTACTCCACCCGCCTCTGTTTACCTAGCGTTAAGTAGGAACCCGAATGTTAGTCGATTGACAGATCACTTTTCTGGGGGTATTAAGTTGTTCTTATTCCACGTTCACAGAATCATAAAATTATACAGCACAGAAGGAAGCCATTCAGCCCATCATGTCTGTGCCAGACACAAGTGTTGTTCAATCTGGTAACATTGTCCAATTGGGACAAATCAGCCAGCAGAAAATATTATCAAGAGAGCGTAGGCTTCATGATAAGAACATTTAAAAAAAAAATCAAAATAAGATTTCAAGTTGATGGGCAATACTATGGAAGCAATAACGACAAATTGTATTGCATATTGACTCGAAGCAGCAGCGCAATATTCATATAATTAAAAATAAAATATTTAGTCAACTTGTTCTTCTGTTTCACACAAGTGTTTTACAAACCAGTGAGTATGGGAATCTTTTTCAAACCTTGACATTTTTAACTCTATTTAGCTTTGTGGTTCTTAATAGATAGATTCGACAGATACTGTGTTTGGTATGTCAGCAATTGAGAACACCAGTTGTATTGTTATTGGATACACGACTGAAATTGCACAGAAGTATTTTAATCAGTGAATGTTATTTGTTAAAAAACATGAACAATCAGTGGATACAATCAGCAGTGAGGGAATGCTATCATTTATTATGTTGGCATATTTAGCCTTGTGAGTAGTTTCTATCCAAGATTCAGTGATTTAAACACTGAAATGCCATACAATTCTGGTGAAAGAAATTCCTCGCACAACACAGGAAAAATATAAATTCCGTAATCGTTCGTTGAAAATCTATAAGGAGATTCAATTGCCTACAGCATCCAAAGGGAATACTTTTCTTTGATCGAATGAGTGGTACATACTCTAATGGTTCTGAAACCTTTTGCATGAGACTCAACAGATCAATAAAAAAAGTAATTAAATTCTCTGCTCTTTTGTGCTCTAGATTATTTCTCACAGTGAGATCTGTCCACTCTCAGACCAGTAGCTGGTCCGTGGATAATACCGTTTCCCACGCACTGTGATGCTAATATTACCAGAATAAAGCAATTCCAATGTCAAATTAGATTTAACTTCTATAAAGATCAGAGTTTGAAATAAGCTGTAACTTTTTCTTAAAGTATGTTTGTGAATGCCTTTGTTTAACCCGGAAGAACAGAAGAAATAGCATGCAAGTTAGAGAGACAGGAGACAATAATAATCCTTGCATTTGATATAGCGCCTTATCACGTCTCAAAATGGTTCACAGGATATACTATAAAGCGAATTGACTGTATATTTTGAGGGCAAAACGCAGGAGTCAATTGCGCACAGCAGCGTCCCACAAACAGTCGTGGACTGAAGTGACCAAGTTATTATTATTATTATATTTATTATTTATTTGTTTGTTTTTAAGTGATTATTACCCCCGAAAAAGTGATCTGCCAATCGACTAACAACCAGGATCCTCCTTACTACTAGGTAAACAAAAGGCATGTGGAGTAAAGTAACTTGCTCAAAGTTTCACCCCGCCAGGAAATTGAACCCAGGTCCTCACGCTTCTCACTGTTTAGATTTGGAGCTGATGGGAGTAAACAGGGCGAAGACAAAACACTAGTTCTTTATTACGACAAGCATGACCGTGTTAGAACTGAAGAAAGAATTGATGACAAAATAAGGATGAAATAAAGAAATGAAGAGACAGACCAGAGCAAGGAAAAGACAAGAAAGTGGATCGCAGAGTCTGGATATTAAAGACAAAGAGGAGGTGGATTCAGAGAGTAAAGATCAAATTATAGTGGATAGGAAAACCCTCAAAGAGGGGAAAAAAGAACCAAGAAAGCGCAGGTAAAATGTGAAAATAATGGTACAATTCCCTCATTGAAATATCCTGATTCATTTCAAGCTATGAAGTCTTTACTGCAGGGATTAATCTGTGCTTTTGCTAATTCACTTTGAATTGCAGACATTTCCCCAATTAATGGGGACAAATGTTTCTATCAAAAAGGTGCAAGATATCTGCAAGTTACCAGGACAGAATGACGTGGATTTTCATTTGTGTGCATGGGCAGAATTTGACGTTTACATTTGGGGGGTGGGGTGGAGGTGGGTGACGTGAAAGTAGAGACATCATTTCAGAAAATGTAAGTTTTTAGGTGAGGGTCTGGCTGCTCATGAATTTTCATGAATTTAACAGCCGTTTCTGACACTAGCTTTTTAATAAAAATAATCCCCGCCTTATCACGTCATCGAGACGTCTCAAAGCACTTCACTGGATAGACCGTAAAGTGAATTGACTGTATATTTTGCGGGCGAAACTTGGCAGCCATAAGAAACAGGAAAAAATACGAATGGCAAAAGGAAAATAAAGTTTATTTTTGCACAACATGGGATATTTGATGAATGTGAGCTCTCAGAGCAAGGCTTTAATTTTGACTCAAAGGTACTGTGCAAGATACGAAAATGCAAAGCTGTTCTCATCTGATTTGGAGACGAGAAAGAAAAAAAGAGAGAAATGTTCTAAAATCAACCTTTTGGGCCTTTTTAAAATATATATATACACACACATATATATATATATATTTCCGCTTAACAGCCAGAGAAAGCGATGAAAACAAAGCCACTCAATCACAACCAACACGTCTTAAAAATGCAATTGAACAATAAAACTACTGCTGTGTTGTGTGTGTGTGTGTGTGTGTGTATATATATTATATACACACAGTAGTTTGGTCAGCCAAACCGGAGCAATATTACTCTGTCTAAACAGGTTCTAGTGTGGATCCCACAGTGTTATATCTTTCTATAGATATATATACACATGTGTTATATAGTGTTATATCTGCAGCTGGAGACGATTTGAAAGGAAACATGACGTCTGCTCATCTCTACGCGTTTGTCACCTGCAGGAGGCAACGGTGCATTTAAAAAGGGAGCCTTAGCGAGTCACAGCAGCAACGGCTCCACCAGCACAAGAAGGCGAAGGGAGGCAGGAAGGAAGGAAGGAAGGAAAGAAAGAAAGAAAGAAAGGGCAAGAAAGGATGGACGCTCTCACTGGGCTCAAGGCGAGAGGCTGAGCTCAACCCAGACACTCGCTCGCCGCACATTCGCTCCCCCAGCACCGTTTAGCGCTGAGCGCTGCTCAGAACTCTTCTCGGGACGAGTTAGTTTGTGTTTTACTTTCTACCACTTGATTGCAAGAGCGTGTTAACATCCAGACTGCACTCTCGCTCTCACACACAGAGACAGACAGAGAGAGATAGACAGACAGAGAAAGACAGACACAGAGGGAGAGAGAGACAGATAGATAGGCAGAGACAGACAGATAGATAGACAGAGAGAGAGAGATAGACACAGACAGAGAAAGATAGATACAGAGAGAGAGAGAGAGAAAGACAGAGACAGATAGATAGCAGAGAGCGAGAGACGGACAGAGAGAGATAGACAGGGAGAGACAGAAAGAGAGCTAGGAATAGAGAAATATAAAGAGACAGAGAGAGCTAAGGATAGAGATAGATAGACAGAGAGAGAAAGATAGAGAGAGAGATAGACAGAGATAGAGAGAGACAGACAGAGAGAGAAAGATAGACAGAGAGTGCTAGGGATAGAGAGAGAGATAGAGATAGACAGAGATAGATAGAGAGACAGACAGATAGTGCTAGGGATAGAGAGATAGAGATAGAGAGTTAGAGATAGACAGAGATAGATAGAGATAGACACAGAGAGTGCTAGGGATAGAGAGATAGAAATAGAGAGATAGAGATAGAGATAGACAGAGAGCGCTAGGGATAGAGAGATAGAGATAGACAGATAGAGATAGACAGAGAGCGCTAGGGATAGAGAGATAGAGATAGACAGATAGAGATAGAGATAGACAGAGAGCGCTAGGGATAGAGAGATAGAGATAGACAGAGAGAGATAGAGATAGACAGAGAGAGATAGAGAGAGACAGAGAGATAGAGAGAGAGACAGGTAGAGCTCGGGACAGAGTTGGCGGGAGACAGAGAGCGATGGTGAGCCTGACCATGGCCGCGCTTCTGAACGACTCGAGCCGGGGGGACCCGGGGAACGGGAGCTCGGCGAACGGCTCGGCGGCGGCGGCGGCGCCCCTCAGCGTGGAGTCGAGCCACGTGGCGACCTCGGCCGCCATGTTCGGGGTGGGGGTGGTGGGCAACCTGATCGCCATCGTGGTGCTGTGCGTGTCGAAGAAGGAGCAGAAGGAGACGACCTTCTACACGCTGGTGTGCGGCCTGGCGGTCACCGACCTGCTGGGCACCTGCTGCACCAGCCCGGTGGTGATCGCCGCCTACCTGGGCCGGCGCTGGCCGGGGGGGCAGCCGCTCTGCCACTTCTTCTCCTTCTCGATGCTGTTCTTCGGCTCGGCCGGGATGACGGTGCTGTGCGCCATGTCGGTGGAGCGCTACCTGGCCATCAACCGGGCCTTCTTCTACAGCCGCTACGTGGACCGGGCCCGGGCCCGGGCGGCCCTGGCCGGGGCCTACCTGGTCAACCTGGTCTTCTGCGCCCCGCCGTGCTTCGGGCTGGGCCGCAACGTGCGCCACTTCCCCGGGACCTGGTGCTTCCTGGACTGGCGCGCCGCCAGCCCGGCCTCGGCCTCCTACACCTACCTGTACGGCGGCTTCAGCTGCTTCCTGATCGCGGTGACGGTGCTGTGCAACCTGTCGGTGTGCGGGGCGCTGGTCCGCATGAGTCAGAGGTCCACCGGCCGAGGAGGGGGGGGAGGGGACCTCCCACCCCCCTCCCGCCCTCCCGGCACCGGGGGCTCCAGGGGTCGCGGCCTCTCCCGCTTCACGGTCTCGGCGGCCGAGATGCAGATGTTTTGGCTGTTGGTCTTCATGACCATCGTTTCCTCGTCTGTTCCATCCCTCTGGTGGTGAGTACCGGGGAGAGGGGGAGGGGGGGGGAGGGGGGGGAGGGGGGGGTGTGTGTGTGGGGGGTGGGGGAGGGAGTGGGTTTTTTTTTATGTTATATTGTGTATTTTTTTTAAATGTGTTTTTTTATATGTTTTAGATTTTTTTATTTTTTTACTTTTTTTAAAAAAAAATTCGATTTTTTTCAGATTTTATATGTCCTTTTTTTCGATCTTTTTCAGATTTCGTATTTCCTTTTTTTCGATTTTTTTCAGATTTTGTATTTCCTCTTTTTAGATCTTTTTCAGATTTTGTATTTCCTTTTTTTCGATTTTTTTCAGATTTTGTGTTTCTCTTTTTAGATCTTTTTCAGATTTTGTGTTTCCTTTTTTTCGATTTTTTCAGATTTTATATTTCGTTTTTTTAGTTTTTTTAATGTTATACCTATTTTTTTTACCGTTGCATTCTATTCAACGTTATTATTTATGTTTATGTTTTATAAAAATGTAAATATAAATTTTTTTAGGTTTCTATTTTTTTTATCTATTTTTTATTTTTTTAATATTTTTTCCCCTTTTTTTTTACATCGTCGTTTCGCTCCACAAAATATTATGCGCACTCTGTCCCGCGGAAGCGCCTGGAGACGTCCTGAGGAGACGCGACAGAGGCGCTGCTGTCGAGGGCAAAAGAGGATTATTATTATTATTATTGTTGTTAATTCTTTCTTTCTTTCTTTATTCGTTTTGTTTTATTTATTTAAATAAATACATTTATTTAAATAAATACATTTATTTAAATAAATACATTTACTTATTTATTCGTTTTGTTTTGTTTTTTGTTTATTATTTTGTTTTGCTATTGTTTTGTTATTGCGACTGCAACGGTTAGAGAGGACTTCGGGTGTCCACTCTGTGTACCCCTCTTACGAGATGGGATATTGCCGTATTTAATCTTATATGTGAATTGTTTAAAGTCCACTTACAGAGAGAGAGAATAATAATAATAATAGATGGATCAAAATCAGAGAGAGAAAAAAAAATACTAGAGGTGGAATGAATCAATTAGGACATTAAAAAGGGAGGGAATTGCAGAATAAGGGTATTAAGGGAGATGAGGTGAATGTTATTAAATGATCTGTAATGATAAACTGTAGGCACAGTCTGGACGGGCTGCGGAGACCTCCGATTTCTATGTTTCTAAATGGGATTAAAAATAAAGTTGCCCCATAAAGTAAACCATCAAGATAAACCATCAAGATAAACCGCCTGGAGGTTCAGCGCCTGCTCCTACATCCCTAAATCATACTCTGTCCACATTCATTCTTTTTACCCGGACACAAAATCAGTCTGGAAAACATCTGGAGAAAGAACTCTCTCGCATGAAATTAGGAGCAATAATCTGACCTGGAAGGCACCGCTCCATATCATCATTGCAGATTCAGAAGTGAATCGGGTTTATAAGGCAAACGGATTCGGGTTTGTCCGTATGATTGTGGACTCCTGTATCTTAGTGGTTAGAGCAAGTGAGAAGACCCGCGTTCGATTCCCATCAGGGCAAAAATTGGGCAAATTTGCTTATTCCACACATCTCTGTTTACTTAGGAGTAAATAGGAACCCGGTTGTTACTCGATTGGCGAATCGCTTTTTCGGGGGTAATAATCCCTTTAAAAAATAATAATTTGGTCATTCAATCCACGATTGTTTGTGGGACGCTGCTGTGTGCAATTGGCTGCTACGTTTCACCCTCAAAATATACAGTCAATTCACTTTACAGTATATTCTGTGAAGCGCTTTGAGACGTCTCGAAGACGTGATAAGGCGCTGTATCAAATGCAAGGATTATTATTATTATAACAACAGAACAAGTGTTGATATCTGGTAACAGCTCTGCAGTCACTCCCTGTGGGGATAAATCATTACTTATTGACAACATTTCAATAAGACACAGCATTTCAATTGTGATGAAGTTATTTTGTAAATAATGCTACATAGCTGTTCATTTCATAAGTAATTGTGTGAATAAATTTATAATAAACGATTGTATTGGTGAAGGAACGAGCATTTATCATGTTGTTTTACATTACACTGTCTTCCATTCCTACCACATTTTCAAATTCAGAAGTAACACAGCAGCACCATTATATACGGCACAGTTTATACCAATGCAAAGTGTGTCTTCATGTTCCATCTGGCTCATGACAAAGAAAATGTATATGATATCTTATCTCTTGTATCTCTAATTCTTATATAGCCAATTGCGGCACGGCAGTGTTCCATAAACATTCGTGGATTGAGTGACCAAATTATTATTATTATTTTAAGGCATTATTACCCCCGGAAAAGCGTTCTGCCAGTCGACTAACAACCGGGTTCCTAGTTACTGCGAGTTAAACAAAGGTGTGTGAGGAAGGAAAGTTGCCCAACATTTCATCCTGCCCGGGAATTGAACCCAGGTCCCCTCGCTTGCGAGGTGAGTGCTCTAACCACTGAGCTACAGGACTCCACATATGTCTAAAATATAAATATGTCTCAAATACAAATATGTCTAAACTGGCCCAGAATACACAAATTACAACTTTGCCGTTATTTGTTTTAAACCTTTCAGTTGTACCAACTGATGTAAGGGTGGGGTTAGAGCTATTCCTGTTTGCACAGCACACTGTAGTGTTCAAACAGCAGTATTTCACAAAGCACTCAGCATTCCGCAAATTAAACGACGAAAGACAAAACCAAATTGAATTGACAGACAAAACTCGTGGTCACGCCAACTTCGTGCCATCCTGTAAGCATCTCAATGATCAAAACTGGGCAGTGAAGTGGTTAAATTTAAAGAGCAGCAGATACCTTCCTGCTGTTGCACACCAGCCGAAACAGTATGAACAGTTTAGCAGAAGGCGGTCGGTTTCTATTAGATAGTCATAGGCTCGATCCTTTAAATTATCTATTGCTCACACTAAGTGCACACTTCCTCTCCTGTCTTAAGTGTTGCCTGTTCAATGTTCTCTGTAGTGACACATCCCTTCCTAGTACAATTAGACAGTATTTTACTCTGTAAGCTTGAACATGTAACAGTTGAGGCTGTCAACACACTCTCTTCCCTCTGCACCACTTGATCAGATCTGCAATAGCCACAGTGAGAATAGATTTGATCATTGTACAGTTATGCCTTTAATATCCTGTTCGTATAAACCATATTATGAAACGGATTGTGTACCTGGACTCCTAGATATTTGATTCAAACAGGCCTACAATAATAATAATAATAATGATGATCCTTGCATTTGATACAGCACCTTATCCCATTGAGACGTTTCAAAACGCTTCAAGAATATACTGTAAAGTGGTTTGACTGGAAAACGAGGTAGCCAATTGTGCACAGAAATGTCCCGCAAGCGACCATGTGTTAAGTAACCAGTTTTATTTGGGGGATTGTTGGCCAGGACACCGGGAGAAATTCCCTTCTCTTTTCGAATAGTGCAATGGGATCTTTAACGTTCACCTAAACCGGCAGACGGGACCTCGGTTTAACATCTTATCCGAAGGACGGCACCTCCGACAATGCAGCACGCACCCAGCACTGCGCTGGAGTATCATCTGAGGCAATGTGAGTCCAAATCCCAACTTGGGCCTTGAACCCACAACTGTCTGACTCAGAGGCGAGAGCACTACCACTGCGCCAGGCTGATACACAGCAGAACCATACAGTTTCATTGCAGTGGCCAACCTCCATAACCTCTGGAACCATTTGAGACTCACTTCAAGGCTGTTTGTGTGACATTGCTGTGTGCAACTGGCTGCTGTGTTTCGCTCACAAAATACACAGTCAATCCACGAGACAGCATATCCTGTGAAGCGCTTTAAGTCGTCTCAACGACGTGACATGGCGTTATATCAAACACAAGGATTATTATTAATACTGAATGTGATTGATATGTACATCGTATCAGAGTGTACCATACAACTATACAAATTGACATGATTAAATTGATCCTTTTCGAGCCGCTTCTGATAAACTCAATCGAGCTTCTACGGTTAAGAAATAATATGTATTTTCTTTTCTCTCTTCAGATCCGCATTTTTGTGAATCAGCTGTACGGCCCTGGGAAGATCCAGGCTGGTGAGAAATTGGATTACATTAGTGACCTTCGCGCAATCCGTTTTGCATCATTTAACCCAATCCTGGATCCTTGGGTGTATATACTCTGCAGGAAGAAGCTTTTTACCATGGGGTGTGAACGACTGAAGCGGACAGTGGGTTCTGTTCGGGACAGTCAGACACACAGGGTAGGATGGGTGAGTGGACATCAAACACCACTCTCTTACACCAACAGTGTCAATACCAGCTATGCCTCACTGCGCATGAAAGAAGAGCTCAAGGAACTTCAGAGGCAAAACAGTCACGGAGCTGGCACAGTGAGACATTTGTTTACAGAATTCACAAATCACCAAATGTGGGAGCAGCAGCTCACGGGTCGAGCTTTCACCCCTTCAGTATCCCACATGAGAATCACGTGGACCTTGACAAGACTCTCTCTGGGACGCCACCACAGACTAAAGCCATCTTGTGCACGATACTGCAAGAGAAGACCATCACGGAACCCCGGGTCAACACACAAAACAACACTGGGCCAAACCAGGAGGAGAGACCATTTGACATTTTGAATTGCACTTTCAGCACTCCTTCATCTTGTGTATCAGAGAAAAGTATTTAATTTTCTAAAAAAAAACACACACAAACAAACTATTGCACAATTATCTAAAGACTCGCGGAATATTTTAAGAGCCAGGCTCATATTTGACACAGATTCTGCTGCCATATTGTTTGAAAGGAAGGTACCAATGGTTTTGAATCTTCACATTGATGTTTTTCAGCTTGTTTGTGGCAATGCTCCTTGTGCCTATGTGTGTTCACAGCTGAGACTAACGCTAAGATCGTTTCCATCACACACTTGAAATGAAACAAACAGAAGACAACTTTAAATTTAAAGAATTTAAAGAACTTAGAACATGTCAAAATAAAGTCCACAAATTTTAGGGTTGATTGACACTCATTCTTCCTCTGCAGCAGCCAAAGTAAATTCAAAAACATTTTTGTAATGTAAGATTTATTGGTAAGAAGCTATCTAACTCTTACCCAAAACTGGTACTACTAGACTACATCTTGTCACAATTCAGAATTTACTCAGCATTAGAGTAGCATGTTTACATTTATATTTCCCTGTTGCCCCTACTGTAGCATAGAATGTCTTTCATATTAATACGAAATGCCTCTTAAAAGATATGTGAAGTGTCTATTTGGAATCTCCACGAAAATGTAAGAGTCAGTTAGTGAACGGATGCCAAAACGATTCACACTAATTATACTTGTGCAGTGAAATCAACACATCTCCAAGCTTCTGGTGATTTACTTTCAGTGATACATTGCTCACCACTGATTTATACCGGACATTCAAGTCCTGAGAGAGTACAGCTATAATTAAGTCACTTGTCCTGTTTATTGACCAGGGCCAATTGTTCCTCGTCTTGCAAGAAAATCATAGAATCGTACAGCACAAAAAGAGGCCATTCGGCCCATCGAGTCTGTGCCGGCTCTTTGAATAGAGCAATTAATGTCAATCCCACTCCCCAGCCCTTTCCCCATAACTCTGCAAACTCGTCCTCCTCAAATACCCTTCCACCGCGTTTTTAAAAGTAGTTATCGAATTGGCCTCGACCACCCTTTCAGGCAATGCGTTCCAGATTCGAACAACTCACCGCGTGAAAAAATTTCTTCTCACCTCCCCTCTGCTTCTTTTAGAGACTATTTTGAATCTGAACTCGAGTCACTGACACACCCACCAGTGGAAACTGTTTTTCCCTTTCTAACCTATCAAATCCCCTCATGATTTTGAAGACCTCTTTTACGTCTCCTCATAACCTTCTCTGCTCCAATGAGAATAATCCTAACCTCTCTTAGCCTTTCCTCATAATCAAGGTCCCTCATTCCTGGTACCATCCTCGTAAATCTCCTCTGCACCCTTTCCAATGCCTTAACGTCCTTCCTGTAGTGCGGTGCCCAGAAGTGGGCGCAGTTCTCCAACTGAGGCTTAACCAGTGTTTTATATGGGTTAATCATAACCTCCTGACTCTTGTACTCTATGCCCCTATTTATAAAGCCTAGAATCCCAAATGCCCTTTTTACACCTTTATCGACCTGTCCTGCCACCTTCAAGGATTCATTTACCTGCACCCCCAGGTCTCTCTGTTCTTTTACCCCCCTTAAGATTGTATTACCAGCCTATATTGTCTCCCCTCGTTCTTTCTACCAAAATGCATTACCTCGCATTTCTCCACATTGAAATTCATCTGCCATGTGTCTGCCCATTTTACCATTCTGTCTATGTCTTCCTGCAGTTGGCTCCTATCCTTCTCACTGATTACCACCATACCTAACTTAGTGAAGTCTCTTTTGTTGGTCGTGCAGAACTCCCATCAAAAAGATTAATACGAAAAGCAAGATATTTTATGGGGATTATTTCCCAGTAAATATTGTATTCAGATTATAATTTGACAGGTGGACTTTAATTGGTGATCCACAGGCTGCAATACACAGGAAGATGTTACACAATATTTTGACAAAGTATGTACAGCCGTTCCATTGTACGCAGTGTTTTTTTAAGCTATAATTTTTTCAATATTTACTTGAGACTTTTTGAAAAAAAGAATCTGAAAGAATGTGCTTCATTCGTCTCAACAATGTATAAAAAGTCTCAACAATGTATGAAAGGTACTATATCAAATGTATGTATTATTATTAATGGGTACGTTTGAGGGAGGAAGGCAGTGTTGGGAGATCTAAAAAGCAGAATATGAATAAATATATATATTTCATATTAAGAAGCAGTTGCCATCGTTTCTGTGGAAGATGTTTTTGTATTTTCCATGGTGACTGAGATGCTTACAACATAGTTTGTCTCAAAATTGGGATTATGGTGCCATCAACCATAATAATAATAATCCTTGCATTTGACATAGCGCCTTATCACATCTTCAAGATGTCTCAAAGGGCTTCACTGAATATACTGTGAAGTGAATTGAATGTCAATTTTGTGGGCAAAATAATCTGGTCAAAGGCAGATTCTCATTCATTTCCTCATTCGTGCAGGGCTATGAAGAGTTTAATCTTTGGAATTTCTTACCACTGGCTCTGTAATGAAGTATTTTTAGTTGCTCCAAATTAATAATTTTTCTGTAAAGATTTATAGATTGGAGCAACTACAAATACTTGATTACACAGTCAGTGGTAGGAAACAGCAAATTTCTCCTCCACCCCACCCCACACACACACACTCTTCAGGTTTGTGTGCTCCTATATTAAAAACATATATTTCTTTACAAAAAAGAAACTTATTTGTAATTAGAGGGGATCATCATCCTGCAACGTGATCGATACTCCCAAATGTTCATTTTTATAACCAAGAAAGATTTATTATGTACCTGGGATTTATCAATAACCTATAGCCATTTCCCTACAATAAATCTTTGAATTGTAAACATTTTTTGCATAAAAATGGCTTTGATTTGGGATGTCTTTTGCATGTTGGGAGTCGGATGTCAACTGCTGAATGAGGAGTTTGCTCTCAAATTAATCAAATATTGGAATTGAAGTGGTTTTTCTTCTTCAATAAAAGGAAGATTTAAGAGTAAAGAAACACGGTTCAAGTGCTGATGGCCTCAGACACAGAGTTTGACACTCTTTCCTTTTCACCTCTTCATCCTGATTTGTGAAGCTTGAACATTTGCAGTTCTTTATTTCAATTGGTTTTACTATTTTGAAATCAGTAAACATTGTAGCTAAAAGGCAAATAATTGAGATATCCTTTCCAATTCCTAAACAAAGATTCCTGACAATTCCCAATAAGGATGGCTGTTAATAACAAGGTGGCTGTGTGTGTGTGAAAGAGAGAGAGAGAATGTGTGCATACACATGTATAATCATGTCTTTGGTTACCTTCAAATCTCCAGTGAACAACATTTTATTTACCAATTCCTTTCAGCTTTCACATATCAAAAACGCTATATAAATATCAATGTAAGTTGCTGCAGCTGTTGCTGGCAAGCTTACAGGGGACAGACATGTAACCGCATGCTGAAGTAGAATATGAATCGTTCATATTAACCCTGAATCAGTCTGCTCACACCCAGTGTAAATCACTGACACTGTTGTATTGCACAAGTATACCATGTGAATAACATTAACTTTGTTTTCGTATTTGAATGCATGGAGTGGAGCAATCTGTTTCATGCAATTAGGCCTAATGTGAATTCTCTAAACAATACATTATTGCAGTAACAAATGGTTTCCTTGACATTAGCGATGAGTTTCAGTTTTACTAATGTACTCTATACACTGTGTGGTTGTTGGGAGGGTTGCTTTTACAGACAGCCTGCCATTAATGTAAAGTTTTTTTTTATTAACTTGATAGTGCTATCTCATGGGCACTATGTACAGACCAGGCCTACTGTTCAAACATATTGCTTTAAAATTAAGAATCCTCACAGCAGGGCATTTTATGTGCCGATGGCGTTCATGACATCGGTGATGTCAGCAACGAAATATGTTTAGGGAATATCTGCAGCGACAATAGGAAATGGACTTGATGAAGAGTAATAAAAGCTCTAAGTGATGTAGCAATGGGAACAGTATAGGAAGAGTAATGCAATCATAATAATGGTTTGAGAGAGGGCAGCTGGCTAATGATCTCATTGTGGCCATTACCTTCTATTTGCCAGACACACCTTAATTATACAGTACCACTGCAAGCAAGAATATTTCCTACCATGATGAAGTCAGAGTAAATATTTGTCCGGTCAAATCCCCTTGCAATTGATGCATTATTTCTACATTTTATTGAAAGCAACGCAACAGGTTTGGATACTTTTCATCTTCCAACATATAGATTGCTCAAAAGCATCTATTGTCAGGGTTTCTGCGCTTGCTTAAGATTCAGTTGATTGAAACTGTTTAAATTCTTAGGAGAAGAAAAGTTCTACTTTGTGAAGTAAAAGACACAGAATCTGAGAGAGAAGGAAAAGGTAAGAGCTGGGATTATGGAGAAGAGAGGAAAGAGGAGAGTGTTTAATATAAAATCTCTCAGTAAATCTAAACTGTCAGGTGTCAAATGGTGAGATTGTAGTTAACTTTGCCAGAAGGTCACATGAGAGTTATTTCCATGTTATAAATAACAAGGTCCTTGAAATACTGAAACATCAAGAACGTCGTGTATTGGGATTACTACAGTGAATTGGGGACAACTGCTCATCGCAATGCTAAGAATTATATATCTTCACCTCCAAAATGTCTGCAAACACTGGGAAAACATTATTTACTGTCTGGCTCCAATCTGGTCCAATATATAATTCCAATATATAACTCCCAAGTCCTCAGCTCTATTTCAAACATCGTTTCACATCGGTGAAATATTTATATATGTGGTTCTTCACTCCCCCTGTTGTTTGTCGGGCTGCAATACACGTTTAAGAAAGGAAACCAGATGTATTTACATGGTTGTTGATCACCTCTTTAGTGCATCAGACACAACCAAGAGGAAACAACAGTCAGTTCTGGGTGCTGGGTTTGCTTTGACAAGCAGAACTCTAACAGATAGAGTGGTCCTAGCTGACGAGCAATAAAAAAACTTGCCATGCAAGAAAAAGTGAAAGCTCAACGTTTGCCCAACTTGGGTAGAGAGGGACTGAAAGTTCAAAGGCTGCCCAGCTTGCACAGGAAGGGAGTGAAAGTACAAAGTTCTCTTTCGGGCCCTTCGAATACTCAGATTCTCAGAGAGCCCAAACCCAAATTCAGAGAACTTTGTGCCACAATTAGTACCACTGGCAGAAAATTACAATTGTAGAAGTAAAAACGAAATGGCTGCAATTGAAGAAGACAATGTGTGTAGCTATTATTTTACAGAGGAAGATGCATGAAATTCCACAATTAAAAATTTTTTTGCAACAAATGAAAATCTAAAGTTCTATTTACACTGCGTCTTGAAATTCGCTCCCACCCCTACTCCTACACCTGTTGCCAACATTGCACAGTTCTAGCTTGTGGCGTACGTACACAAACCTTTGCCAAATTTTATTTGTTGCTAAGGAAAACCATCTTTGCACTGTTATCAATCACTAGAAGTGCCAATACGGGTATTGAGTTCATCAAACCAGCAAACTGATCTTTTAAAACTATTCTTGCCGTTGAAGGGTAAAACTATTTAATTGGTTTTGTTTTTAATTGAATTACTAAGAGAATATATATATATATGGCCATTTATGATCTAAGATGATCTAAAATAATGAATCAAAAGTCCAAAATAGGTTAGTCATTTCATTCCAAATACAGTCATTGACAGCGGCTTGTTTAATAGAACTGCATTTTCAACTGTTCACACACGAGGGCAGTAAAGCTTCGTCAGTCCTAGCGTTGATAATTGCTCTGCAACTCATTGCATAACAGGTGATAGTCAATGATCTGCACCTGCCAAAAGGTGATCCAAAATACACGATC